TATAAAAAAAATATATCAAACAGCAGAGTTTGGCTTCGTTGTACACTAGCACTGAATATAATCAGACTTACAAAGGCAGACACAAGCACAGGAAGTGGAGGAGTGTCAGGGGGGAATAAGCGCGCCCCGCGGGTCCCAAGTGTGGCATCCTGCAGTAAAATGTTACAGTGGCAGTTGCTCACCTACCACAGACTGCTGCTTCACAAACACGTGAGGTAATGAACGTTTGGGAAGCAGTTGCTCTTACATTAACTAGGTCAAACTATTACTTCACCGATGCCTGAAATACTGAACGTTACCAGATGGCTGCAGTGGCAAATGATTGAATGTGTTTCCCAAGCAATGTAATTTAGGTTACTAAAAATGTATGTGTAGATTAATAACTGTTATTTCCGTTTGAAGTCTACATGTTAACAAAGATGAGTAAATAATTTAAGCATAATCAAAAGTTATAGTTTTGATTAGCGCAGTTTTTTCAACTATTTTTTCCAGCTCGTACCGGGTTGGTAATGATACAAAATACCGACAGAATGAGAAATCTAAAAAAATCCAGTTACATGGAAGTTTTACGGGCAACCTCACGCCAACACAGGCTTACCTGTGACCTGTTTCCAGAGTTTTCCTACTTCTGTTAATTGCCTGCTGGACCAGGCATTTAAACTATTGGAAACGCCTCAGTCCTAAATATGTACTTGCTGGAGCGGAGGAGAGGGATGTACATGATAATATATACGTGAAAGTACAGGAGGACGTAGTCCCAAATATGCACACTGCAGTAACATGCTAGAGGGAGAGAGATGGAGGAATAAGTAAAATAAACCTAGTAAGAACCAGGGGCGCCATGGGCACGACAAGAGAACGTTTTATCAACATCCGTGGTCCCAGACTATTTAACATCTTGCCAGAAGACATCAGAAACTGCTGGATCTACCAGACTGTGATTGATATGTGGGTCAGTGGGACACGCCAGAAGCAACAACCAGGTTGACCAGGAATAAAGGTAAAGGTGCATCAGTTTCCCCACAATCGAAGCTTTGAAAGGTCGAGTCATATGAACGTTGAGTGTTTATTCATTGACAGTATCTCGATTGGTAGCGCGCTTAGCTCGCACACTGAGGTCCGGGGGATCTATTCCCGGTACGGGTGGAAACATTAGGACATGTTTCCTTAAGGCACCTGCTGTCCCTGTTCACCTGTCAGTGAAATGGGTATCAGGGTGTTAGTCGACTGGTGCGAGTCGCATCCTGGGGACAAAATTGACCAAATTTGGCCGAAATGCTTTGCATAACAAGGGGCTTTTTTTTATATGGTAGTAGTCATTGATGTCAGCCAGACCTGTATACATTGTACATGTACTTGTAGAAATAGATTATTATTATTAGTAGTATTATATTAAAAGTAAAAATCGTAGCGCTTCTAATATCGACTTAAACCGAGAAATCTTTAAACTTATTTTTCTCATTAAGAAATTGCTCTACAATTATTTCTTCTCTATTTAAAAAAAATTGAGAAGCTTTTAAGGAAAATCTCAGGTGATGCATTGTGTAATAGGTAGAGTCTTGAGACACTGAAGCTCCACGTCCTATTGTAAATCACAGCACTGCCTAGGATTTAAATCTTCGCCACGTATGTACTTAATATTAGTTACGGCTCATTTTAAAACCCGACTTATTTCTATTATTTTTTCATATTTCTTGGTTAATTATGTAGTGCAAGTTTTTCATTTAGCTTTCTCAATACCGGTCTTGGAAGCACTCGTGCAGGACCAGCATCGTTCACTAAATGTAACTGCTTAATGCTATTGTCAGCAGTTTTATTGACATGTTAGTAGTAGTAGTCATGCGTGTGAATTAGTTCCCCAACTTCTTCACTTGTAATAAAGTTACTTAATAGCCTGAATATACACCACAAGCTAAACATTATATTTAACGTAACAGCTTTTCAATGATTTCTGTTCAGCTTTACTGTGAAGTCTTGAGCCATTATATTGTTCTCGATCTCTCAAAGCATATAAAATATCATGGACTTCAGCCACATTATTAGAGGGGTCACACTAGTACTTGTATTATCTTTCAACTTGGCTAGGTTACATAATTTCATTAATTTTAATCATATTCTCATCATGCAGGACCAGCATCGCTCACTTAATGTACAGTAACTTTGTTCAATTAAATTCAACATTATTATCAGCATTTTACCTATTGAGAAAGTAGTAGTAGTGGTAGTATTGCCCTGATATTTGTGTGTCACGTCAGTGAATTAGTTTCACAAGTTCTGTCTTGTACTGAAAATCTTCCCAAGTGCTTTATTCTGCAGTATAGAACTGTTAGAATTCAGAAAATGATATGGTAGAAGTACTTGGAAAAAAAAACAAGAACTTGGTAATTAGTTTCACATACAAACTACCGTCGGTATCATGGAAGATAATGAGATTAATGAAATCGTGACGTAATGAAGCCACTGTTAACAAGGGTATTCACCAACATAAGAGTAGACGTACACAACTGGGTGTGAACAGTATCACCATCGGGTACACAACACCGGGTGTACATCACAAAACTATTAAATAACTGAATTAGTGGTGTGTATGTAAGTAGCGGATGCAACTCTTGGGTGTTCCGGCTCTCTCAGCACCGTGTCTAATGTGTGTAGTTTGTGTGGTGAATCAAATGACAGGTATGACCTCATGATCACCATGTGGAAGGCAGATGAGAGGCAGGCTGCGTTTGGTAGCACTTGTTTATTTGTGTTGTGGTTGAGATCCAGCTCTTGGTCGCACAGACTAATTTTAGTTTGCCATGAACTAACTTCATCGTATTTACTTTTGAATACCTGTGTGGAATTAGCTTCGACTTCGTTCAGTTAGTTCCACTCATTTAACACAGACAGACACAGACACCGACACACAGACACACAGACACCGACACACAGACACCGACACACAGACACACACACAGACACACACACACACACACAGACACACAGACACGACACACACAGACACACACACGACACACACACACACACACACACACACACACACACACACACACACACACACACACACACACACACACACACACACACACACACACACACACACACACACACACTCTCTCTCTCTCTCTCTCTCTCTCCTCTCTCTCTCTCTCTCTCTCTCTCTCTCTCTCTCTCTCTCTCTCTCTCTCTCTCTCTCTCTCTCTCTCTCTCTCTCTCAACACACACATTCACTCTGTCGTGTCGAATAGGTAAAACTGGTCATTTAGCAAGAACTCGTTTAAAATTAAGTCCTTTCTAAATTTTTCTCGTATACGTTTAAAGATATTTTTTTCCATTTATGTTAATATAAAAATTAATTTTGTACCAAAAGAACCTTAGAAAACTTATCTAACCTTATTATAACAAACTCAATTTAATTTAGCCTAGTCCAACTAAATATATTTTAGATAGGTTGACAATAATTTAATAAACAAACACAATGAAATATTTTTTTCCGTTAGGTTCAGAATGATTTTTGCGAAATTATTGCATACACAACCTTTCTCTTGCCTTATTCGGCAAGAAGAGAGTTGCTATTTAATCCAAAATTGCAAGTTTTACCTATTCGGCACGGCATCATATATTATATATATATATATATATATATATATATATATATATATATATATATATATATATATATATATATATATAGTGTGTGTGTTGAAATGTTTTCTTAAATCTTGCTTAAGTGTTCTGCTTTCATCATTGTCTCCTCATTTTGTATCCTTCCCTGGTAAAGTCTGTCGTTGTCATGTTTCCTCTTGTACTGCGCTCTTCCAAGATATCTTAACTCTTGCGTCACAGATCCGGCACCAGTGTCTCGATACTTGCGTCTAATATATTTTCTCAGGTTTATGCTTGTGTTTAGTTAGGTAACTGCTTGACACTAGTGCTGTATATTAGAGTAACTGTTGACGGAAAGTGAAAACTGGACATTCATATATTTTTCACTTTATGGTATGCCTCTGATATTTTATTGATACGCTACAAGAAAGACTTTGTTTCCATTTTATGTGTTATGCTGTCACTCTCTCTGTCATCCAGCACTTACTGGGTTGGTTGATTATTCACATAGCGTATTTGTCATGCAGTTTCCTGCACTTCCCTTCCGGTCGTATCCTACTCGGAATGTTGTTGGTTACTATTGTAGATCTATAGGAGTTCATTATCATTGGCAGGGCATTTACATATATTAGGGACTATCAGGGAATATATTTAAAGCCTTGGGAAAAACCTAACTGCTCTCGCCTATCTTGTCATTCAGGGATTTTTTTTATTCATGCAATTACTGTGTTGCTTCAGCCTGCGTCTCTACCTTGAATAGTAACTGTGTACGAGACTGTGCAGTAGACCTTGTCTAGGAGTATGCAGTCTACCTGCACCTAGAGGATACCTGAAGACTTTGCAGGGGTCACAAACCCCCCCCCCCCCACCCACAGCCCGGTCCAGAGTCGTGGCTCTGGTTGGGTGTAAATAAGATCTGCATTACATGGTATAACTTATGTAGATGCTTTTATTGTTCTGATTTTAATAAGGTTTTGAGTATATACCATAGGGAAAATGAGAGCAAGTTTCTCAGCTGCACACAGGTGCAGCGCCTCTCACTCCTGTCTCACTATGAGCTGCATGGTTGAGCCCTCCTTTCTCCAAACATACTTTGGTGGGGGACGTGTTTGTTTTCTCGCGCTCTCTCGTTCTTTTCTCCTTCCTTCTTCATTCTCCCTCGTGTGCAAGCACGTTATATAAAATAAGTATAATTGACTGTTATTGCATTAACGATGTTCTTGGTGTCATTGTATAAGAAGTACTCAGATGAAACCAGAGTCTTTGCCACTGAAAGTTCCCTATTCGGGTGTTTATTCCCAATACGTCTTATATAATTTGTTACTTTTACGATAGGGCAAGATTCTCATTTCATTTCTTGGTGTAGTTCATTAAGTGTGGCACGGTTGTTGCAGGCACATCCCAAAGGCCAAGGCGACCACAGTGGCGGAGACACCAGAGATGAGACGGCTGGCTGAGAACACCAAAATTCAGTCAAATGTAAGTAAGCACCCCACTGTTGCTGTTTACCTGAGTCCTTGAATGACGGTTCCCGCACGAGAACATTTTACACTCTTGGTCTACCAAGTTCATGAAAGGTAAGTCAGCGGCAGGTGTTGCAGTTGGCCAGCCATAGGGCCACCCGCTGTCCTTGTACAGCATCTTGGCGCCCCCCTTTTCTCACCACTGAAATGGTCATCTTTTCATAAAGAATCGTGCCAAGTTTTTTTTTCCTGAAGAATAAACTAACAATCGTCTTCTGGTTAATAATAGGTAAATTATCTAGTAAATGTTAATGATCAAACTACGTAACCTTCAGAGAACACGTACTATGTATAATAATACAAACTGCAATAAAGAGTTACGTAACAGGTTCTTTTTATTAGGAACATAAATATGTATGCAGCACATCAGCAGAGACAGCTTTTGTAGCGCTTATGTGCTTAACTGCAATGCACAAGGACACCTAATGAAGAGGAAAGAAACCAAATTGTAGAAATGTCGTTGCCCTGAGGCAGCCTTGATGGCTGTGTCCAACACGGTGGCCCAGAACTCTGCAAATTTTAGCATATCAAATGTCTTTGTAAAACTGATCCTACTCTGCTACACAACTTGACCCCACACGTGACCCCACTTAATTCTGCTGACCTCTGTCAACTATTATATACTGTTTTCCGTCACTTTTTCCCCCCTTGTAATTGATAAAATCCTGGTGGATGAAATGTCTCCAGCAGTAACAGCCGGCGTGACCAGGCAAGCGTCGCTACAGGAGTAGAAAACTCGAAATCCATCTAAGGTATACCCAAGGGAAGGTAAATTCGCTGCGATAATTTCCAAAACTAGAATGCCACGTTAATATTTTTTAAAGCAATCTTGATCTCAAGGTTAAAATAGTTTCTTGTTTCCGTTCTTTTAATTAAAGCAGAGTAGATATTAGAGGTAGAAAATATATAGAAATGATTGGTGTCAGACAAGCATCTAAATTAAACTCACAGTAATTTGAATGTGCTCTTTGGAAGGAAGAAGAAAGAAGTCTGATGCATGAGCACTACTCTGTGAGGCCGGAGACCCAGCAGAGGGGCCGATGGAAGACGGCTAAGGTAACCTGCTACACTCAGAGTTGAAATACCGACTTACTAGAGTGAGAGATACGGGATGAAGTGCAGAACATAGCCACGGATCAGACTCTTCAACCATATACCTACAGATGTATGAAATTTCCTCAGTAATGACAGAAATCTTCGAAAAGAAAGTAGAGAAGATTCTGAAGGAGGCGCCTGATAACAAGGCTGAGGTCTATAATTGTCCATTATATAAATAATAATAGCATAGTTGTTCTGGCAGCCCTAATTAAATCCTCGAGAGTAGAAAAAAACTGGACATGAACACAAGTATGTCAGAGGTCTATATGTATACCAGTAGTACCAGTGGTCATGCTATTACCACCACTTCCGCACCTTTCACACCTCGCCGCCTTCTGCCTGAGGGGCGTGCAGGAATAGCACTGGCAGGAACAACACTGTGTCTCGGTCTTCGCTTCACTCCCTCCATCCTCTGTTTAGCCATTCCTAAAACGCACCGTTCATCTTGTAACTCGTGTGCATTCATTCATTGGAAATAAACACAAAGGCAGTATAATGTGTACCTTTATTGACTACGTTTCGCCCACATAGTGAGCTTTATCAAGTCACAAAGTCTCGGACCAACAAAGCCCGTCTCAAATCCAACGTACCCAGTATTCTCCGACTGACTCTCCACATTATATATACTCGTGTACTCTTTATCCAGGTAGATCTGTTTGTGACTTGATAAAGCCCACTGTGTGGGCGAAAGGTAGTCAGTAAAGGATCACATTATACTACCTTTGTGTTTATTTTTCTATCTTGTCGGTATTTTATACCTTTTATTTCCGCATTCGTTCATTTCTGAACAGTCTAAGCAACAACCAAAACTTAATATTACTTTTAAATAAAGATTAGGTTGCTCCGGGAACTGACAGGATTCAGTCCCTGCCTGTTCCATCAGTTGCTGACACTCACGTTAATACCATCTTTCTCGAGTCATTGACAACGACTTTGAAGGGACTTGAGCTACATCCCATCGTTGCCACGTGGGTGTGAGATTCGTCCATAAAGATTTGCATAGTGAATCTTTTTAGCTGGATGAATCTTATTACGCCGGCATGATACAGTGGTTAGCACATTGGCCTGCCAGTTTTAGGACTGGCATACCATGGGCTTAAATCTCCTTCGTTCTGTGAGTTGCGTTTGTAGTCAAGTGGGGCCCATGCTAACCTCTGATTTGAAATATACCTAGTTGCACGAATGTTATTAACCCTGGGTGGATCGGTAACAAGAGCACTGGGCTTCCTGTTTTAGGACTAGCTTGACATGGATTAGACCACTGCTCATTCTCTAAGTTTTTTATAATCGTATTAAGATTTTTTGCGAGCCGTTACTTTTATTTAGAATAAATTATCCTTTTACGTATAGTTGACTGCTAAGAACCAAGTTGTAATAAACAGTGAGGGAATAGTGAAAAGATGTAGCTGACAGATGTAAGAGGCGGCTTTAGTAACTTGCCGTGCAGGCAAAAATTCTTAATAAAGTTTCAAAATGCTGCTTGTGTGTCTAGCTGCTACGAAAAAATCAATTACAAAGACGATGGGGGTAGCGTTTGGTAACGGATAACACACCACCGTTGCTTAATTTGTTGCAAACAGTATGCTCGTTATGTACCGTGTGAGGAATGTCTGCTTTCATAAATCGCATCCTAACCCTACTTCGGCACTGATTTTTTTGCAGACTAAAGAGGTCCTAGCTGGAGGGATGAAGAATAGTGAAGGGAGGGGGGGGGACAGAAAAGTGTGTAGCATAGGCAGAAAAATTGGCTATTAAATTACAGAACAGTATAATTGATGGAGGTAGGAGGGTAGTGGGTGTGAGGTAGACTTAGTGAGGTGATGGCTTTGTAGGTTTGTGGGCCTCTAGCAGAAACAGCCTAGTTGACAAGGCAATCAGCAATGAAATTTGGCCTCAGGCCTGGCCAGGAAATAGGTCAAGGGATGTGGTACTTTAGGTTCATTGTTTTGGCCAAATAAACTAACCCCAAGCATAACAGAAAAAATTACACTAAAATGTATTAAAAGTGGTTGAAACAGAATGGACCGGGTTTTTGTTTACTTGAGAACTACAGCCCGTCTCTATGTAACGCAGTAGCAAAGATACAAGTTGTAAGGCTTAAGCAGAGCCCTCTCGATGGTGGTTCACTTAAACGCGGTAGTGGTATTTGAGTGGTTTGTGCTTAGAGGTAGGGGCCTCTTCTCTGGGAGGGGGGGTACTCTAACCACAGGGTGCTTGCCTAAGAACTCGGCTGACATCTCTCTCGGTGGGGATATTTCCTCTTTTGTCTAAATTTTCTGACACTCGATGAGGCCATATTGTATACCCTTAATTCAATAATACTTGTCTAATACAGTACCGCCGTGGAATCTGTACAGAAGGTATCTTTTACAACTTTATTGCTGACCTCTAACCCAACTCGTAGCCATGACCTACTTCCTCCAGTGAGTTCCGCCCACCTGGGATTAATTTAAATTGCTTCAAATCTTCTCTGCTTCCTCGTGCATCTGCTTTATGAAGGCTAAGAGACTGAACAATTCAATATTTTTCTTTTCATTTCTTCCACGGTCTTCAGTATTTATTCTTTCCATTGGATTGGAAAAGTCATGGATTGCGCTAGAGGGAGGGCAGGTACCTAACAAGGAGCGTGCTGGGTGAGGGAGGGGAGATGAAGTGGTAGGGCCATCAACCAGGGCACTGTGATGAGACTAGCCAGAACCTAGCCTGGAGATGCCTGGAGATGTTGGTGGTGCTTGTGTATTGATGGTGCTAGTGGTGGCAGTGGTGATAAGTGTAGGTCGTGGATAATGATAGCTGGTGGCAGTGGTGATGGGTATAGTTGGTGTGGTGTTGACTTCATGATGGACGTTAGATCTGTTACGTACCATCTGCACTCTTGTGTTTTCATGAAAATAATTTACTACCGTAGCTCTCTTTTGTTAGATTTTTAAACTATTGTTTGGCCAACCAAAATTATATTGAACTTGTCTCTTTATTTAATGCTAATTTAGCCAGTCCTGGTGAGATAGCAGAGCTGGAGAAATATATTTACTATCTGCAAAAAACCAGTAAAACATTTAAACTACTAGGAACACCTCAGAAAACTAGAAATGTGCCGGTACTCTCTGGAGAGAAGACGAGAGAGAGATGCAATAATATACACATGGAAGATACTGAAGGGCCAAGTCCCAAATCTGCACACTATCATAACATACTGGATGAAAGATTTGGGAGGAAGTGTAAAATAGACCCATATATCACAAATATTTCTGGAACAATTGTAAAGGTTTTATAGAGGAATCTGTATATATACCTCCGTAGTTTGCCACGTCAGCCAGACCTGTTTAGATAGGAGACCCGGCGGTGCTCAAGTATTAACATCCTAGTTGAGCAGTCATTCGACAGGAATGCCTGACCAGGGAAGGGGCCGCGGGAGTAGGATAACTCCCGAAACAGTTCACAGTTAAATCACAGGTAAGAGGCGAGAAGTAATCTAACCTATGCTAATAATTGTAAGGAAGGAGGAGGGGGTAAGTTCATTTGTGTATAATATTTCTTGGGTTGATGTGCAAATTGAACTCTTATTCGAAGATGTTTGTTTACTTCAGCGTCGCTTGACGACCACTTCAGTAACTTCCTTAGTGACCTTAAGATGACATGATAGGTAGTGTGTTGCTTGATCTCGCTCAGCGCCTGGTTTCAGATCTGTTTCCATAGGGCAACTTAGTATCACGTTATCTCACGGAAAGAGACGGCAGCCAAGCTGCAGCATATGGATGTGTTCTGAATTTAGTTTCTGTGAGCCAGCCTCGCTTAACCTGTTGGTCGGTGCTATTTGTGTGTTTGCAAATACTCTTACTTGCATGTGTGATGTCTTGA